TGTGCATGTGAGTGTAAATGTCTGTGTCTGTGCATGTGTGAGTGCATGTGTGTGTATATGAGCATGCTTCTCTGTGCACGTGTGAGTGTGCGTGTGCCCGTGTCAGAGCAGTCAGTAGCTGAAGGGCAGCGTCAGGCCGCTTGCTAACTCTGTGCCTTTCCGCTGCCCGCTGCCTCCAGCCTGAATTCCTCAGTACTTTTCCTTTCCTCTCACTTTCCGTCTCACAGCCCCTCTAGAAGAACAGGAAGTTGGGAGGAGGCAAATCCCACATTTTACAGGTGAAGAAGCAAAGGCTTTGAGGGAGGAAGTGATTTTGTGAAGGTGACACAGGGCACAGGACTGGAGCGTGGCTCTTCCTCTCCAGTGCTCAGTCCTGTCCCTGAGGTCTCCCCAGGCCTCCTCCCAGGCTCCAGAGCCCGTCCTCCGCCCCCTGTCCCCTTCCATCAAGGATCCCATCTGGAAATAAAGAGAAGATATGACTGAGGACAAAGAGGTGCCAAGCACTGTTGGTGATGTTCCTAGACCCAGACTGCCAGGGTCCCCTGCTAGAAGGGCTTGGCAAGCTCTTCTCTGTGCCTCAGGTCACTCTTCAGTAAAATTGGGAGAGTAGTGCATGCCTCCTAAGGCTGTGTGGATTAAATGAGTGGCTACACTGGAAACCACCTGGGGCCTGGCAGCTGCATAAGGCGAAGAGCCATGATTAGCGCCTCCTGCTGCCCGCGGTAGTAGGCTACAGTCCTGCAGAAAAACTAAGTCAACTGGGAGGCTGCCCTGGCCTGTGCTCAGCCTCTGCCCTCCCTCTGCCCTGCCTTGACTCTGGAGCCTGCAAGAGGCTTCCCAAGCCCTGCAGCTTCCTTCTTCCTGGAGGCCCTGGGGCTGCTGTCTTCCTTCTTTCCCGCTCCGCCACTTACTAGCCGACCTGCAGCCAGTGACTTCATCTTTTCTTAGTTTCTTCCTCTGGAAATTAAGTCCCTCATCCCTCCCTCCAAATACTTGTGGAAATGTTAGTTAGTGCATGTAAGTTGAGTAGCTCAGTGCCTGGCACACAGCAGGCACCTAGTAACTGTCAGCTCCAGGCCTCCTCCTCCCTGCTCATGGCCCTGACTCTGGACTGATTCAGATTAACCCTGACTCCACTTGTGCCTTGCAGATTGGAGCATCTTTGATGTCCAGCAACGTGGGCAGTGGCTTATTCATCGGCCTGGCTGGGACAGGGGCTGCCGGAGGCCTTGCTGTGGGTGGCTTCGAGTGGAACGTAAGGAAGCTGGCCTGGCTGTGCCAGGATCATGGGGACCTGATCCCTGGACTCAGTGCTGAGAGGAGTCTTAGAGGTGCTTGGGAGGCTGAATGGTGAATAGAGAACCCATTTTACAGATGAGGAAACCAAGGCCTAGAGGAGGCAAAGAGACTCATCCCGGGCCACACAGAGGGACTGGGATCAGGGTTCAGGTTATTTACCTCCCTGCTCAGGGCTCTCCCGCAGCACAGAGCTGCCTCAGGATTGGAGGCCGCCCTCTGTCTGCATCTAGGACCTGGACACTTTCTCCTCCTCACTCTCTCAGGCAACCTGGCTGCTCCTGGCCCTGGGCTGGATCTTTGTCCCCGTGTACATTGCAGCCGGTGTGGTCACAATGCCACAGTACCTGAAGAAGAGATTTGGAGGCCAGAGGATCCAGGTGTACATGTCTGTCCTGTCTCTCATCCTGTACATCTTCACCAAGATATCGGTGGGTACCACTCCAGCTCGGCTAGCATGTCTGTCTGAACATTCTCATTAGGGGCCTGAGAATGCATTACCCTGGGCTTGCTGTGGAGGGGAAACTGACAATCACAGACTGGCTGGGATGGAAGGATGGAAGACTAGAAGGAGGGAGGGAAGGAGGAAAACAGAGAGGGAAGGAAGGAAGGAAGGGAGGGAGGAAGGAAAGGAAGAGAAAGAAAGGGAGGAAAGGAGGAAAGGAGACACATACCTCAATGTATGCCCCCCCCCAGCAGTGAGGTAATCAAAGATGAATGTTAAATGCTTATTGAGTGAACAACAGTCCCTACATTCAAAGAACTCACAATCTAGATTTCATTCATTCATTCATCTTTCCATTAATTGATTCTTCACTCAGCAATTGTGCATTAATTGCCTAGAATGTTAAGATTTAGACAGACCCTTATTCTCCCTCTATTGACCTGAACTTGGAAAACAAACCTAGACAGGTCAGATGACCAGTTCTGGGACTGGAACAACTGTTCAGACACCATGACCCAGCCCAGGTCTCCTTCCACTCTGTTATGTTGCAGACTCCGTAATGGGTTTATAAAACAATCATGGGGTAGAATCAACATGCTAAAGAGGGAACTGAATCATTCAGTTGCCAGTTTCCAGGTCTAGGGCTGAAAATCTTGACTCCCTTGTTCCACCAATGCTTGAGAACCACCCTAAGTCAGCTCAAGCAAAGGTTGAGCCCCCATGTCCTCCAACCAACATAGATTCTAGAACCCATGGTCATCTGCCTGAGGGCCCCTATGCATCAGGTTGGCCATGAACAGTCAGCCAGCCTCTAGGTTCCTCCTCTTTCCTCCCAAATGACCTCTCCTTTTCCAGCCCCAGATCCTTCCTTCACCTCCTCAATCTTCCACTCCATTCTACACTATTCCCTTTTTGTCCAACACAGCAGCTATCCAATTAAATTTTTCTCAGTTCCAAAGCTTTATGCAGTGCTCCTTGCTTCAAAGACTCCACAACTCCTGTTTCTGCAAAATCAGGCACACACACCTTAGCACAGCATTCAAGGCTGTGCACTGTGGGGTGAGGTACCTGGTACCTGGGGTACCTGGTATTGCTGAGAGGGCAGATGTGTGCACTGGGATCACACCGAGGGTCTCGGGGGTCCTGGCTCTCTGCAGACCGACATCTTCTCTGGAGCCCTCTTCATCCAGATGGCCTTGGGCTGGAATCTTTATCTCTCCACGGGGATCTTGCTGGTGGTGACAGCTGTCTACACCATTGCAGGTAGGCACAGGGAGGCTCTGGGGAGGTCTCATCAGGGTGCGGAGACTGGGAGAGAGGAAAGGGCAGAGGGGTGACCTTCAACTGTCAGAGACACAGACTGAAAGTTAGAGGATAGGTGACCAGAGGAAAGGGCAGAGACAGAGAAAACTGATATGAGATGGAGAAAACAGGGCAAGGCAGAGACAAGGAGAGGCCAAGACCAAGAGGTGGGAAAAGATAAAAACACGGAGGGGAGGAATACACTAAAAGATGTGTGGCAGTGAACAGGTATTGAAAGGGGTAGAAATGGGGGAAACAGAGCCGGCAGGAATGGGCAGGAAAGACATCAAGAGTTACTGAAAAAGACCCCAACTGCACGGGGCACAGGGTACAGTCAGGGAGTGTTACTGGGTCAGAGTCACAGGCCCCCTTTTCCTATTTCCTTCAAAGCATGTGGCACAGGGCTGGGCACCCTGGAGACCTGCACAGGACAGGCTGATTGACGTTAAGTTGTTCTCAGAAGATGGGGAGCATTCACGTGGGCCTTGGGAGGGAAAGGAGGGAGTATTCCTGAAGGAGCTACAAGCAAAGGAACAGACTAGGACAGTAGAACAGAGCTACAGCATGGTGGCTGCAGTCAGGCACTGGCAGTGACAGGAGGAGCGGACCTGACCACTGGGCTGTGACCAGCCTGCATCCTGTCAGGTGGACAGAGGACTGGCAGTGACAGGAGGAGCAGACCTGACCACTGGGCTGTGATCAGCCTGCATCCTGTCAGGCTGGACAGAGGACTGGCAGTGACAGGAGGAGCAGACCTGAGCACTGGGCTGTGACCAGCCTGCATCCTGTCAGG